CCACTCAGCATATTTATTTTTAGGCGCTATCGCAAGAAACTGGGGCATACTTCGAAACTTAGAATAGAAAGGGTCATGAGGTTAGGGAAAAGGAGAATAGCTCACGCTATCTGGGGTTTCTCCCGCCCGCCTAAAGCTTAGTCCCGATTCTAAGAAAAAGCAGGTGTTTCAGGTAGTTTTAGCCAACCACCATAATGCCCCCTTTCCTTGCGATAGCGCCTTCCTTTATTTAGTTATTTAACCATGCAACTTATAGATATAGTGTAATTAAGACAAAATGCGGAAATAGAAAAAAGAAATTGCCACCATCGGTGAAAGGCAGAACGGGTGAGTCTTGTTAGACCCAAATAGGCAGAGAATAAGGCCCCCGCTCCGAATAATCCGTTTCCAGAAGCTATTTTTTAAGAAAACATTATGTGAATTGAGGTAGGAAGCAGGACATCAAGCGACCCAAGTCGCAGAACCCAGCTGGAGAAGGGATTCCGTATGAACCCGCTTTTAAGATCTTATTGCAGCTACAATTCTAGATCGAATTCACGGGGTAAAAACGGACGATAATGAAGTTGTAGGTGAGGAGTTGACTGGCAATGAGGAAAAAAGCGGAAAAATTGCCAAAGAAGGCAAAGGGACTGCCCAACTGTCCCTCAGCAATGGAGGAACACGCTCGTTGGACGAGTTGTCTGGAACATGCCCGCAGTAAATGCGCCCCAATTGCAATAGCTGGCTACTTGCTAGCATTAGCCAGTAATTGCAATTGGGGCGCAATAATGAAATCGTTTTATGTTTTGAAGGAAAAAGGTAGAATAAAGGGGTCTATTCCAGTTAGGGGGGGCATCATGATGCAGTTTTTCCAGAAAGCTAGGTAACTCCGAGCCAGGGGGAGTGTAGCCAGTCTAGGGGGTGGGGGTGAGGGCAGTCACTTGACATGCGTGAAAAGCTGGAATGTTCGAGTTCACACTAGTTCGCCGAGAAACTGCATCATGATGCCCCCCCCCTAACTGGAATAGACCCTGGCGCTCATTTCCTTAGCGGGGAGGGGCATTCGAAATAGGGCCGCTCGTAGGTGACACTAGTACTAAACCTGGGAGAGAGGAGAAACGCGTGTGAGACCAAAATTGCTTACATTCTTCCCCAGAATCCCTTACCCTCCATAAAGTTTAGTCCCAAGTATTGTGAGTGCCTCTTCCAATTGAATATCTCTCCCCCTTCCCTTCCCCTAACGACATGAGCGCCTAATATTGAAGGTTCTGCAAGTGTCTGTTCATCGCAAAGAAGGTGAGAAGACCTTCTGGGGCAGAGCTTCTAGTGCATTTAGACTATGACAATTATTTTCTAGTATTGCAAACGATCAGACAACTATAACCTAGCTTTGTTTTTGCACTCGGGAACTGGTATTCCACTCCCGAGCCTCATCCTGCAAAAATTGGGGCATTTGGCGGGGCAGTGACTTGGGAAAGGCACCACAAGTCATTTCACCAAATGCTTCTCCTCATGATTCATTCGCCACCGCTGCTATTGTTAACCGACGATGTGTGGGCGCACGCATAGTCGGTCGGACGACAGCAACGATCGTAACTGTCGCACAGCATTGGATGCGTATCGATCGTCGGACTTGCCTGAGTATTCGACGATTAGATGCAGTTAGACAGTCAGACAGTTGCGATCGTTGCTGTCGGACGACCGACTATGCGTGCGCCCTGTCGCACTGAGTGATGTCGGCTGTTACAGGCGTGATTTAACCTGAAATGGTTTGGGTGAAACCGGAGTTTTTACACATTGGCCAGCCGTTTTGGTGAGTTTACGAGATGATCGAGCGTTGATCAGTTTTTTTTTTCGAGAATGTTTTTCATTTTTAGGTCCACTGAACTAGAATGCGAGTATTTTGCTGTCCAACGGCGAAAAGGACATGGAACAAAAGGGTTCTCGTCAGTTGTGGTGGCGACAATTGACTCGGTTTTTGACACTCGGCCACCACCGTTTCGAATCATCTACAAGTATGAGAACGATGAAATTCAAGTGGCTATTGGTGAGCTTTTTACAACATCTTTGGTTGGTTGAGCTTCTCATGAGAACTTGCTGCGATTCCACAAATTACTTCATTACCGCTTTTTGAAGGCACAATCCACGGTGGCAGGAAGGGTTACAAAACTTCTGTTAACCAGAGGGTGAGGGTGAGATGGAAAGGCATACGCTTTTGATAGTATTAAGACTATGCCTTTCATAGAAATTAGAGAGGTGCTGCAATAGTGTGCATGTCTAATAGCTCCCACAGAACACTGCAAAACGCTGAATTGCCTAGCCTCATGGTTGACAGATGTCCTGAGACCGCAGAGTAGGGGTTATGGAGTTCGACAGTGGAGCTAGAAAGCCTGAGTGGCCTTTTGCGGGGACAACCGTGCGAAGGTCGCCGAGAACATCCCAAATGCCCTTTTTTCCGCAATCGATTTTCAGCATTGTACGAGCCCATAATAAAAGACCCTGAGTATTGTAGTGGAGGAGCAGATGTTGAAGGGACGAAAAGACAGAGACGAGCGTGAGGCGAATAGTTCGGATAGTGACATCAATATGGAGGTGGAGTAAGGGGTGGTGTGGAGGTACTGGGGCAACATAAGCTTCTAAACCACTTCCCACTCACCGTTGGAGTCGCAGATTGGGCACGACATTTGCGGTTGTGGACGAGTGCACATCCATATTCACAGAGGGGCCTCTTTCTGTCAGTTTATCATGGAACATAGCCCCGGATAGGAGGTATTTGACCGGTTAGATCACAGAAAACCTAGCGTGCGAAGTCAAACAGTCGAGGCTGACAAGCAGCGTATTGGTACAAATGGCGTTCAGTTCTTCAATAGTTTTCCTGTCGTGCTGACGTTCTAGCTTGAATCTGGATCTTTGTGCCCAGGATAAGAACGTATCAAATAAGGTTGCTGTGTCATAATCTCAACAAGTAAAAAGGACCCCATTCAGCAATAGTGGTTTCATATTGTTCTGTTTCAGTCATTGCTGCAGCTGTTCGAAAAGCTGAAATTATGGATCACTGGAATTGGATACAAAAGAACATCATGCCTACTCTAGGTAATTTTGAATTTTCACCTTGTTAGTTTTCCAGCTCTCTAAATCGAACTTTATTTCATAGCTTTTACGCTTTGATTAACGTATAGTTAAAACGATTCAAGTCGTCAAGTCTTTCCTTTCTTCAAGGTTCGTTCTCAACCGAGAAAGATGTCCGAGCATTCGTGATCGGGAAAGTGGAGAGCCTGGTTTTCATAGCGGCTGAAACTTCGGGAGCAAGTGGTGAGTTTACTCTCGTCATTGTTCTTTTTTGTAGAATATTTTTTCTCATATTCAAGCCTTCATTTTTTCTTAACTGTGTTCTTAAGATGAGTTGGACTCACTAACTACTCGATCAGTTCTGCATAAATTTATAACTCTATTTTCTCTGACCCCTGATGAGAAACTCGTTAATTGTGAGTTAAACTTTCAGTTACACTTTTTCTTACTAAGATAGTAACAAAATTTTGTTTAGATTATAACTGCTGTTACTGGAATAACCGTTTTCCTAACCAAGGACAATTATTTTTATCTGTAAATTTTCTCTGTTTCTATTCGTTTGTCATTGGAAATGAAGTGAAAATCAAGTTAAAGTGGACAGATATAACGGTATTGCTCCTGTTTTTGTATTTTTTGTGTTTTTGTCATCTGCGGCTCCTAAATGTCGCTGTTTCCAGAAGCTTGAGAAAGTCTCTACTCTTTTGTGGCCTCAAAGCATACGAGTGGTCACCCGTCAAGATAGTTTCGAGTTTTCAATGTTCATTAATTTCGAAGAAACTTTCAAGTTAGCATCACAGCTGGCCAACATCGCAATGAAACAGTATGTTGATGTGGTTTCTTCAGTACTCCTTTTCAGAAGACAATGTTTTTAATACTCTTCTGCTACATGGCTATGACTTTTTTTCGCATTGGTAAGCCTGGGTAAGCTATGGGTAGGTTGGACAGAACCGCACACAGTCACACATCTTTTCTCGCGGCTCTAAACTATGCGACAATAGTTAGGCCGCAGTTATAGTTTCCAGTGTGGGAGTAGATGCCTAATAACCATACAATCACTTGGCCAGTGAAACTCCTGTATTTTGCCAAGAACACGCGAGGTGTCATCTCGTACACAGTGCTTTCTCGCTTATTACTTCTCCTCGCCACTCTGTGTCTTTTCGCCTTAACAAGGGTGACCTCATAAATAGACCCTCGATTCCAGTTTTTTCGAAGGGTTCTTTTGCTTTTTTTTCTTCGACGCAACCTTGTACCGATGTTTTTACTGCTGAGTGCACCACTTCGACAATTGTGGGGTTTGTCTTTACTGAGAAACTAGAGAGAATTTCTTCAGCTCATTTATTCACATGCATATCAATAGTGTAGTGGACAAATCTGTGAACTGAATGATGTGCAGCAAAGCTCGAAATTTCAAGGAGTGCTTCCTGCTTGCCTGTTCAAATGACCAAAATTTGAAATCTCCTTGATGTGAATGGGATATTGTGAATTAAAAAGTGTTGGCGATTATTCTGAGCGTCGCATCGAATGCTGCTCGTTTCGGCTTAGTCATTTCCCAATCGATTTTCTGCTTTTATTGTATATTTCATATTCTCTTCCTTTGTTGTATTGTAAATCCCAATTTCCAAAATTTAATTGAAGCAACGATTCGTAATGCAATTAATGTTTCAGATTGATTGAAGAAGAGGGATTTTGTGAAGATGTGGACCTCTTACACAAAGCCCTTCTTGAAAGCGGGCGAAAGCGAGCGAGGAAAACTTCATCATCATTCCTCAAACGGGATCTGGACGCTAGGCAGCGCAGTGAAAGTTACAGGTTGGTCAATGTTTGGGCTAATTTGTGCTTTTAAACTTTTCATGATTCGGAATGAATTCTCTGTTTCTTGCTTAATTCTTTAAGAAATTT